CCACTCTCCCATCCACTCTCCTGTCCACTCATTCACTCTCTCATCACTCCAGGCCCGTGGGGTCTCTGGGTTGGTCACTGCTGGGACCTGGCACGCTCAACCGGGATGTGGACAAAAGACACAGACGCAGGGGACACAGGCCTGCATGGGACGAGCGGATGATGGGAGGAAGCGCCAACCCTCGCTCTCCCGAGACTAGTCGCATGGCGTTATCCCTGAAACCCCCACCCCAGCAGTATCTGCTGCTGCCCTGCACCAGCAACCCAGGCTTCCTGCAGGGACCAGTAGGCCCCGTGCATCCAGAGGCCACTCCAGGACAGTGACTACTCGGTGGTTATGATGGCCCCTGGGCTCAGCCAGGCTGGGACACCCGTCTCTTCTCCTTTATGGAGCTGAACAGAGACTGTGGTTCCAGTGGGCACCCCATGCTGCTGCAGATGCCACTGCTGGCGGGGAGGGCCATGGCTGGGGGGCCTGGGGGGCTGGGAGGCTGGGAGGCCCTGGGTAGGAGGGCCATGGCAGGCGCCTGGCTCGTACTGATGCTCCCCGGATCCCGGCGGGTACACTGAGGTCTGCTGGGAGCTGGGGAGGCCCTCGTGCACAGGCACACCCCACGCGGCACCCACCTGGCTGGTGCAGGCGCTCCACAGGTACACACAGGTGCCCAGCCCCACGCTGAGCACATTGAGGGACGACCAGTCCACCAGATTGAGGTAGAAGTCGTCCTGCAGCTCAGGCGCATCCAGCACCTTGAAGGGGATCTTGGAGATCTTGCGGGTGGGTTTCCGTGGGGACCGGAGCAGCTTCTGGCTGCAGAGGCGGCCGCGTGGCGTGCGTCAGCCACTGCACTTGGGTAACTTCTTGCAAACGCATGGGAAGTACCTCCTCCCCCGCCAGTCCCAGGAGCCCAGTCCGGCCCCTCCCCGTCAGCGTGTTCCAGAAGCGGATGCAGCGGTCGGCTGTGCCGCCCCCCGAGGCCAGCAGCCCGTGCTGATGCGGGGACCAGGCGATGGCCTTCACGGCCGCCAGGTGCTCCGTGTACTGCTGCACGGGGCTCAGGCTCGAGTGATTCCAGACCAGCAGCTGGGGGACAGGGGCTGTGAGGCCGGGGCTGTCCCAGCCCTGTGGTCCCATAGGCTGGTCCTCACCCCACCCCACACCCCTCCTGCTGCTCCCTCAAGGACCCCTGGGGGCACACGCTCGTCACCCTGTGCCACAGGGCAGGACTGGCTAAGCAGGAAGGACAAGCCCAGGGCCCTGCTGATGGCTGTGGAGTGGGCCCCACGCCCACCCCCAGCCCAGGCTTCACCATTCCTGCCAGCGTGAGGGGTGCGGCTCCTGGGGAAGGGGAAGTCCAGGCTCGGGGCAGGGGTACCTTGTTGTCATTGCCCCCTGAGGCGAGGAGCTGGTGGTCTGTGGACCACTTGAGCCCGCACACCTCCTGCCGGTGGCCCTGCAGCCGCCGCTCTGACTGCAGGGGTGGGGTGCGGATGTCCCTCTGCAGGATCATGCGGTCGCGGCTCCCGGACGACAGCTGCTCAGCGTTCCAGGCCAGCGCCCCTGGAGGCCAGGCGGAAGTAGGGGTGAGCCTCTCCTGGCCTCGGGGAGCTGGGGCCTTGGGGAGCTCACCAGCCATGGGACCCGGGCACCTCACCGACGCGTGCTGTGTG